CCGGGGCGGGCGGTGGTCGGTTCTCCCCGGCAACTGCTAGCTGCCCTGCCTCCGCCCTGCAGGCAGCCAAGCGGTGCTGCTGAACGGGGGAGAGCCGCAGAAGCAAGTGGGGAGGGTAGCAAAGATGGTCCGTGGGTGCCGTGGAGTCCAGAGGCTGCCCCAGGGGTTCCAGGTGTGGATTGAACTGAAATGAGATGCCTTATAATGTAGTAATCACATAGCAAGATTTTAGTATGTGAAGGTGGATATGTACACTTTTTTTATTTAGATTGAGGATGAAACTCAGGTCTCTCGAGCAACCCAGGGTGAACAAGATAACTACGAGATGCATGTCAGAGCTGCAAACATTGTGAGTAGCATCTGCTGTTCAAATCAGTGGGCAGCACATCCTTCAGGTACTGTTGGGTTCATTACTGCATCCAGGGCAGCCTTTATAGCTCTTATGAGGACTGCTGCTAGAAGGGAAACCTGATATTTGGGGTGGCTGTTGGGTGAATTCCTTCTCTAGGGGGAAGGCTGGGTAGCCTGGCTTGTCAGCTACAGGCTTCTGTCAGAATGCTCAAGTAATGTGTGAATTTCTATCTTATTCAAGGCTTGGGCTGAAGGAGAAGCTTGGGAGATCTTGTTTTAGAATTGGAACAAAGCACTGTTTTGATATTCTGTGTGCTATATGATTTTTCTCCCTGCTACAAGGTCCGAGCTGGTGAGTCCCTGATGAAACTTGTGTCTGACCTGAAGCAGTTCTTGATCCTCAATGATTTCCCCTCTGTGAACGAAGCTATCAACCAGCGCAACCAGCAGCTGAGAAGCTTGCAGGAGGAATGTGACAAGAAGTTGATTGCGCTACGGGATGAGATCTCCATTGACCTGTACGAGCTAGAAGAAGAATATTACTCTTCCAGGTACAAATAGGGCAGTGGACTTCTGCCTTACAATTCCAGCCCTTTTGGGGTAGTTAGTCCAGAAAAATGAGTAGTCCTTAGAGTATAGGTCTCGAGAATATTCCCAACAAAATTTCACTCCTGTTTTTAATTAGGTCAGATCTTTTTCTGCAACTAAAGCAACTTCCTTTTCCTTGTAGATATCCTACAGGGTATAAATGTCACAGTGAAGGAGGTATTCACAGCATCCAACTCTAGGTGCCTGCTTTAGTTGGCTAGACTTGATGGATAATTTGCTTAGGCTTCTTTTGTAATCGCTGTAAAAGGAGATGAATTTCCTTGGGTGTATAGGCTTCTGTCTGAGTAACCCTTTGGAGGAGCCTCCGTCTCTCTCCCTAGAGAGTCTAGCTTGCTGAGCTGGGTCCTGATGTTAGATGAGATCACCACGTCTTTGTGGTGAGTCCTTTCACAAGTGACCTGGTCACACAGTGTGCCTTTTTCCTTGGAGTCCTCTGCCCCGGGCTGCCTAGAGTCCTGTTGGGGTGAACATTTGAAATGAGCAAAAAAGACTGGCTCGGGTTCATTGAATTATGAAGTATTACGACAGAATTTTCTGTGGAAGACTTATTACTGATTTGTTTGTGGGATTTTTAATATTTTAAAAGGACTCTTAGATAACAGGCTTTAGAGAATTCAGACACTTTATTTTTTTTATTTTATTTTCTGTCATGCACTCCAGCACTTCTAGTTGATGATGCAGTAAATGAAAGCAGGAGAAAACAAATGAGAACCTGATTATTTTGGCTGCACTGTCCAAGCTAAGTGAAGTCAGTGCAATAGTGCTGTGACTTTTAAACAAGAGCTTAACTTTTGAAAATCTTACTTAGAATTTTAATGACCAGGTTTTCTATTTTTGTCTTTCCCTTCTTTCTAAAAATGCTGAATGCCTATAACCCCAGCTAAGTCAGCTAAAACCCTAATTGCTCAATATCTTTGGAAGTTAGGCCATTACTTATGGCTAATATACGTATTTTAGGAGCAAAAAAGATACTGATATGACATAGCATAGGAACAGCTACAACATTGGAAGAAAACTAGAGGTAAAAGTTTATAGAGTTGTTTTTCAAACTTTACTCAGTTTTTTGGGGGGGTGGCAAATATAGCTGAAATACCTGTTCTTTCTGAGAAATAGCTCAGAAATGAAGAGTGATGGTCGCAAACCCGAGCACCAGTCCAGGCCCAGTTAGGTCAGGGGTGCATCCACTACACAGGCTGCATACAGCACAGCAGTGAGCTGTATCCAAAGCGATGTGGTGTGGGATGATAGTGCCTCACGTGTGCCAGACGTGCTTCTCTCACACTGTCACCAGACTGCCACCACTGCGTGCCAGTAGCTTTAACTTCTGGACTAAGGGGTTCTGACCATGCTGGCATGGTCTGTTCACCTGCCTGGCACCAGATGCTGTGTAAAGCAACACTTTGTAACAGAACTAGCATCTAAGCACAAATGTTGGCATACACCAAATGGATTTGCCTTCGTGCTCTGTCTTACAAGAGTGGTCACGAGGTGAGGAAACTTTGCAACTCTACAGAGCTGCAATCCCTCCACTGAAGTCTCACATCATGTAGCACTTAGTCATTTGCTTTCAGCACTTAATCCCTTCCTGTGCTCTTTCCTGTCTTTTTCTGCACCAAAGAAATCGTGTGTGTATAAATATAGAAACAGTGATTTATTCAAAGTCCTTTTATAACTAGAGTACTAAGATATTTTTAATGAAACCTTATTGTCTAACGTGGGGAAAAAGGTTTCTGTTATGTCGCATAGTTGTAGAGTGATAATCATGTTCAGATGGCTGTAAATGCAATAGCTGGTTTGCCCACAAATGGACATTCTGTGCTGTCCTGTCAGCCCAGCTGGGGTTGCCTCTCTGCACCATCTGTTACTTTCTCATGGGTCTTGATCCCACAGGATTTATAGAGGTGTGCGGTCCCATGAGGCCAGGACATGGGTTCTGTACGGCCATCCTGCCAAACTGCTCCCCCGTGCTCCAGTTTCCCCGAAGGTCACTGGTTTATTTTAAGACTGTAGGAAAGTGAGCTCCCTGCAGCAGCAGACCTCCAGCTGCTGCAAGGCTCAGCGCTGCCCCGTGCTGCACAGCTTGCTCGGTCACTGTGCACTGCTTCCGAGGGCTGTGAAAAGCCAGCGGCAGGGATCGTCCCCTGCCCAGCAGTTGTCACTGCCATTGCGCTAAAGGGGCTTAGGAGTCAGCCCCTTGCCCACAGTGAGTAACTAATAGGATGTGCCTCAGGTGTAGGGTGGGGTTTCGTTGCTAGGCTTTTTACGTGTACACAGGGGTTTGATGAGGAGACCTGGACGCAGGTCCTTGAAACTAAAGCTGAGTAGATTGTTCTGAAGGAATCTTTGCTTTCGGTCTCCATGTTAAGTAGCTTCTTAGAGCTGTTCCTCTGCGCACAGACCTGACTGCCTGCCCCGAGGGTGGCAGTGAAATCCCTTCCACGCACTGAGAAACCCTCAGTCAAAGGACAGAGTGTCAGGCTGACCAGTGTGGTTGTGGGCTGCGCAGGAGCTGCTCATTCACCCTGACTTTTGAGGAGTGTTACGTGAGAGGTGAACTTGGGCTTTTGGAACTGTTCTAACTGGGAGAAGCAGTTACGCTTCTGACACAGCTAAAACTTTGTTAGTAACTCCCCTGCAAAGATGTGGTGGGTGCTGTGGCCAGGTTCTCCTTGGAGACCACGGCCTGAGGTCTAAGACTGATAGAAAAGGAGTCCTAGTTCTGGGTCAGTCCGGAAGGTCTTTGCTAATTGAACCCAGCTTTACTGTGCGTTGGGGACTGTAGGGAAGGCTGATCTTCCAAGGAATTTTACAACAGCCCCAGATATAAAACCTGTATCTGCTGCCTTCTCACTTCTACTGCAAAACCAGCTGGGTGATGCTGCCAGAAAAGAGCTCAGAAGTAGACGCTTGCAACTGGTGCTTTGTGTGCTTACTTCCCAAAGCAGTAACTCCAAGTCCAGCTTGCCTTCTCATCCTAAACCCCAGACTTGCATTTATGTTCCATTGCTCCCTCCTCTGAGATCACAGGAGCTGTCTTGAGTGTGGGGTTAGATCTCAACATGTTTCATGTTTTGTGCAATTTGAAGTGTCTCATATTTCTACACTTAAAATATTTCCCTAAGCATCTATTCAAGTCCATACATTAAAAATGTAAATAAAGCTACAACAACAAAATCACTTGACCCATTGGGTTTGTTTTACTCTGAATGCAAGCTGCTTTCTGCTCCAGCACTCACTTTGTCTTGGGTGTCTCATGTGTGTGCAGCTCCTTCCTCTCTTTGGAATTTGTTTTGGCTTTGTTCCAGTTTCTTCCATCATTTTTCTTTTTAGTTTTGGCCCTTCCACATTGTGTTTTCCTCAGAGCGCGGGCAAGAATTAGCCACTTGTTTATAAACATGACTTTCCCATGCTGCTGGTTCATCCAGCTCTGTAGTCTACAGCGGTCAAATCCAGCAAGCTGCTGTTGGAAGAACTGTTAGCTCAGGTTCTGCTGAAAATGGTAGGAGCCGTCAGTACTTTTATAGTCAGGCTGGGGAGCTTCAACAGAAGACCCAGACCTTCTGTGGAGCACTTCTTTTGAAAGGGCAAGGGTGCAAATAGGTTTATTCTTTATCATGGCAGGAGCAGGCCCTAAAACAATTGTGCTGGCTTTTTTTCTGAAAAATTTGGAGCAGGATTTATATTTTTTTTTCCTCACATAGGTTGTGATTTAATTCCAAGTAAAATAATTATGGATGAGGTCCTTGTCTCATTTGGATCAGTAGCAAAACTCCTATATTCAGGGTGCCAGGACTGCAGCCCAGATCTTTTCAGGGAGTTAAGAACATCAGGATTAGAACTGAACCTCTGTTCCAGTTTGTAGTGACAGTTCTGTCTCTGAAATTCCCCTGATCCTCGCCTGGCCCACAAGGTTCAAGACCAGCCCTTAAGGAGTGTCCTGGGGAAGGCTGGTGTCACAAGACTTGCGATGAATTTGTGAACACGGACCTTACATCCATGAACGTTTTTTGCCATTTTCTTAATGCTTTGCTTCTGTCTCGCTCCCCCCACCCCTTCCCCCCCTCCCCTCCTCTCTTATTGTACCTGCTGTCTCTCCTTACTGGGGTTATTTGTTCTGGAAAGCTACAGTCTGTGTGACAGCAATGATCTTCCACTGTGCGAAGCCTACTGGAGACAAGACTTTGCCACGCTGTCCCCCGAAAGCCTCTCCGTGCCTCTGACAGCTGCCACGGCAGAGCAGAGCGTTGCTACCTCCCAGAGCTCAACCCCGTCGCACCCTCACGTGAACGGCCATGGGGCAGGCCCCACGGAGCACTCCTGAAGAGGATCCGCTGCTGCCAAACATGTTCCTCCTGGCGGCACTGCGCCGCTGGAAGTCTTCCACCTGCTGTACTGAGCAAGCGTCTCCTGCTGTCGGGAGAAGGCGCTGGAGTTGTATTTGCAGGTTTCTGCTCACTGGACACAGCGCTTTCTCCACCCCTGGGACGTTGCCATGAGTGTTCCTCTCCCTTGAGAGACGGCGATAAGTAAATACTAAGTTGATTGTTCTAACAAGTTAGAGTTAGGTTTGCTTTTACGTGACAGTTACATGTAGAGTTCATTAGAAATCCAAGTTTGTTTCCTTATGAATCTCAATGAGTACATGCTGGAGTGTTGGGAGTTGAATTTGTTTGGGATAAACTTGAGCCAGACGTGGGGGCGGTGAGCATTTGGGGTTTTTTACCCTGCTTCCCACGTTATTGACATTCTGCCTGCTTTAATGCTCTCTCAGGACGGCATCGGACAACCTCTGTTCTACCGAGCTAGAGTAAGAATCTTGTAGTATTTTTTACACAGCAGTCTTTGCTGTCAGAATGCTTCACAAACTTGAACTTCTTGCTCGCAGTCCTTTGGGAGGAGGCTGTCAGGAGGCCCTTACCAACGAGCAGTATTCTCCCTCTTGCGAAGGGCAGGCTGAGGAATCAGACCAAGGTCGTGATGATGCCACTCGCTCAAGGCTGCAGACAGAAGCAGTGACGCGCTTTAGTTAGCCCGATTCCTTTTTCAGTGTTTACACAGAAACTTTCTGTTAACGTAGCCTGAACTAACACAAAGCCAGCGTTTATGTTGGCTAATAGTTTTGCCCAATAAAAAAACCTCTTGAGATGCCTGGGGCACGGGGAGCAGTGAGGGATACGTGATTACTCCCCCCATTCCCTCCCGAAGCAGCAGGTTCAGTGCTTTGCCTGCGGCTTGGCGCAGCTTCTGCCCTTTCCCCCTGCAGTCCTGCATCGACTCATGCTGTGCACCGAAAGGGGGGCTGTAGTTGAACTGGGGTACAGTCGGGACAGCCCAGTATCGTGGGCAGCGCGGAGCCGCCGGCGCGTTCCCACAGACAGCTGAGCCCAGCTGCCCCCCCGCGTTCTGCTGTAACGCCTCGTTGCTCGGGATGTGAATTTCGGTACATGTCTTGGGTTATTTTTCTTCCATTCCATTTATTTTTGTAAGTAGGTGGTTTAATAAAACTCACTCTT